ACTATTACTGCACGGCATCAAATGCCTTTGTACATCACTTTCACAGTCTTTTTGTCCCCAAATCTGATCCATTACCATGAAAGAACTGTTCTTCTTTCAAAATTCTAAAGAACAGATCACTTACCAGGTAACTGTTGGTATCACTCACTCAAGCATTCTCAAAAATATGGACATGCTCCATAGTTTATAGTTCACTTACTTTTTCTTCCCACAATTTTTCAAGTTCATAATAATCTTCTATTTTGCCTATGGTCTAATTAGAGTAATACATCTCCCTACTTGCCCTTAACTCACAAATTACCCCCATTATTTCACAGGAGGAGATGCCAAAGACAAGGGAAATACTAATGCTCCACCACACAGCAAATCCATCTTACAACTGGTATCAGAACACAGAAAAACTCTTGCTAAGAGACTCAGGGGGACAGTAAGTTTTCCAAGAGACATACCAAGTTTCTTTCTCTTCAGGAATATTTAGCCTTGGCAGAATGTCAAGCACTTCCTGGTCTGGAAGTCTAGGCCAGGACCCTACTCTAATGAGCACAACAACCAAGCTTTACTGCACACCAACCACATGCCAGGAGCTGTGCTGGCTGCCTCTAGTTCATTAACTCAGATTCATTCATTTATCCAGCTAAAAAGCACCCCCTATAAGTAAGCTTACCTTCACACACATTCACATCCATGTTTTTCCTCTTAGCCAATTTTATGGCATAATTTGTCCAAGGCCACACAACTAGGAAAGGCAGAATCAGAATGGGAACTGGGCCCTTCTGAATTCAAAGTTGTCTATTTTCTTTTTAACACCCCACCTGCTGGTGCTATGGGTTTCATTTAAAATGTGTTCAGGCACTTCTCTAATCTTATCTCAGGACACCCTAAGCCTCAGCCTCCCCACCATCTTTCCCCTTCTCCTTGGGCAGTGCGTATAGCTGACCAGGAAGATGCAGCAGAAGAGCAATCAGGTCTGCAGCAGCCTCTTGCCTGGACTTGACTAGCTCAGGAGCAAAGGGCCCAGGAAATGCTCCAAGCGCTTCTCCACAGAAGAAAATAGCTCGAGTTGAAACTTGTGTCCACATGGTCCATCGACAGATTTAGAACTCAAATTATAGCCTCAGCAGGAGTCTTCACAAAGCACTCAAATTAAGCAAGACCCAGATGGAAATGAACAGGAGAGAGACAGCCCTAAGTCAAACAGTTAAAGTGAACTATAGTTCTAGTGGAGTCAGAGGGAAGAACTTGTTGAAATGCTAAACCATACAGTTCACCCTATATTTCAGAACTCTAGGCATGTTCTCTCCACCTTTTTAACTTAAGCATGTGGACATGAAGCGGTTACAAGTTACTCAGGTTTCAAACTGAGTTCATTCCTATCCTTCGGACCATCTCTCAATGCCAGCATTCATGTACTTGGGCTCCAGAGAGCTCTGCGTTTGGCAAAGCAGATAAAATTAGCTACTAGAGTGAACCTGGAATCCAGGGTGGGCCATTAAAAAAAGTACACATGGGATTTGTAAAAGCGATGTTAAAAACTTCCTTTTGGGCCAGACTGAAGTCACTTAAACTTATAGAAATGTAGGCAAATTCTCTGCCCCTTGCCTCCTTTCCACCCTTTCTGGATCTAAGATGACCCATTTCCTGCTTCTTGCCCTGCCTTTCAAACCAGAATGGCCCACAAACTGGGGATCCTCTATTAATCAAGGGGTGAATCTGAGGGGTCTAAGGAGAGAAAATGGGGTAAGAAGATGAAGGAAAGTTTTCTTCTCCTTTTTCAGGGTCAGAGAGGAGGGAGAGAAAGTTAAATTATACTGTACTATTCAGAGGGAGGGAAGACTATGGGATGGGACAGGAAGTGGGTCACTCCCACAGCTTGATAGTGTGATAATGGGGAGACAATGTTTCTGTTCTGTACCTCTGGCCTCCACATAGTCTGTGATGGCCCCAGCTGGAAAATGGAGTAACCAAAGTAGTCATCTCACAGTAGTTCTGCTCACCCAAATCTAACAGGTCTTAGAAGGACATGAGGAAATAGTGTTTTTTGCCTCTCTGATCCCCAATTCCCCAGCCATAAAATCCTCCAGGCCCCTAGAAGGTGAAAGTTCAGAGAAGATTCCAGTTTGGCAAGAAATAAAACTGAAGAGGCTTGGCTCCCATAGCACAGTGGTTATGGCACCAGCCACATACACCAAGAGTGGTGGGTTCGAACCCTGCCCGGGCCAGCTAAACAACTGCAACAACAACAAAAAAATAGCTGGGTATTGTGGTGGGTACCTGTAGTCCTAGCTACTTGGAAGGTTGAGGCAAGAGAATCCCTTGAGCCCAAGAGTTTGAGGTTGCTATGAGCTGTGACTCCATGGCACTCTACCAAGAGCAACATAGTGAAACTCTGTCTCAAAAAATAATAATAATAGGGCAGCGCCTGTGGCTCAGCAAGTAGGGCACCAGCCCCATATACCAAGGATGGTGGGTTCAAACCCAGCCCCGGCCGAACTGCAACAACAACAAAAAATAGCCAGGCGTTGTGGCAGGTGCCTGTAGTCCTAGCTACTCTGAAGGCACCTAAGCCCAAGAGCTGGAGGTTGCTGTGAGCTGTGACATGATAGCACTCTATGGAGGGTGATAAAGTAAGACTCTGTCTCTAAAAAATAATAATAATAATAAAACTAAAGGGGTGGGGGGCACATTTCAGGTCTCTTCCTCCACAATGGAGGGAAGTGGATGCCATGACAGAATAAGGGAAACTTGACAATGGGTTCCAAGAATAAATAAAGAAAGAGTTTCTCCACTAGAAGGTGACTCACACCTGTAATCTGGGAGGCCAAGGCAGGTGGACTACCTGAGCTCACAGGTTCAAGACCAGCCTGAGCCAGAGTGAAACCTTGACTCTAAAAATAGCCGGGTGTTGTGGTAGGGGCCTATAGTCCCAGATGCTTGGGAGGCTGAGGCAAGAGAACAGATTGAGTCCCAAGAGTTTGAGGTTGCTGTGAGCTGTGACACCATGGCATTCTACTCAGGACAACAAAGTAAGACTCCTCTCAAAAAAATAATAATAAAATAAAATAAAAGAAGTGAAGAGATCCAGTGTCTCCCATTAAGAGAAGGATACCTTGGAAAAGCAGAGGCACACTTCAGATATATGAAGATCCCATAAGGGCATTTCAAATTAAAGGAAGAACTTCCAAAGAAGTCAGGGACAGGGTGGCGCCTGTGCTCAGTGAGTGGGGCGCCAGCCCCATATACCAAGGGTAGTGGGTTCAAACTCAATCCCAACCAAACTGCAACAAAAAATAGCTGGACATCGTGGCAAGTGCCTGTAGTCCCAGCTACTCCAGAGGCTGACGCAAGAGAATCACCTAAGCCCAGGAGTTGGAGGCTGCTGTGGAGCTGTGTGACGCCATGACACCCTACCAAAAGCAATAAAGATTCTGTCTCTAAAAAAAAAAAAAAAAAAAAAAAAG